TGCTGAGAAGGTGGTAACAGGAGGTAGGTAACATGTTCTCGCATCTTCACCTCTGTTGTTAATGTATGCAGTGGCTCATCAGAGGTAGCTCATGTTAATTTATTCCTGCACACCTGTACAGGGCTGGAAGTCAGGTAATCAGACCAGCTAAAACCATACATTTCTGCTTTTTAGCTACAGCTACCCAGAGGCCTATAGAGGAACAAATTTAGTTCTGGAGACATCAGCAGGTTTTAATAAACCAAATACACACGTCTTCCTCCATAGGAATAGAGAAGGTTCCACATTTAGATGTGGACTGATTAAACTAGCAATCAAATGGAAAGTTCACATGTGACACCAATGGTTGCCTCATATTTATTTATAAATCACCCTCAGCAAAAATAATTTGGTCTTTAAATTTATTCATAGGGCTAAATCATCTTTCTACAACTTGAAGATCAAACATATATGCTTACCTTTCTGATAAAATTTAAGACAAACCTTGACAACTAGCAGCTACTACTCTAAGAAAGGAACAAAGATGGTAAAACTCATGTAGGATGAAAAAGAGACAATGACTTCTTACTATACAGATCACCTAGTTGCTGGGTACAAAGTCTTCATTTTAGATGGGATTTTAGAACTGCCAATCATTAAGACAAATATGAATAGATTTTAACCTATGAGCAAATGATAAGGAATATTAGGAAAGAGAACAGAGGGTATTTGTTATTTTTCTTCCTGAATAAAAACCAAATTAACTTATATGTAGGCTCCCCTTCAAAATGAGTGACCTATGCCACTCAGGTCCTGGGGATCAAAAATCAAGTCAGAGTATGAGAAAGGATGAAAGGTCAACTACACCCAGCTAATTCTGACTATCAGGCTCTCTTCAAGAAAATTTCCCGTATGAAGACGGCAGGTTCCAGGCCAGTTAGAATTTCCTCTTCCTAGGAAAGATTTCATATGTATACTTCATAATGGAGGGGCAGCCTCCTGTTCCTTAACAGAACAGCAGCTCAGCAGCAGACAGATCAAGGGATAAACAAGAAGGAGGAAAGGGTCTTTAGAGACCTCAAAATCGAACACTACACTTTGTTATCAGGATATACTTGAAGACTTTAGCAGTCACCTTAAAGCAGCAGTCCCCAAACTTTTTGGTAACCAGGGACCAGTTTCATGGAAGACAATTTTTCCACAGACGTGAGGGGGGGGGTATAGTTTTGGGATGATTCAATGATTCAGGCATGTTACATTTATCATTAGATTATCCTAAGGAGTGTGCAACCTAGATCCTTCCCGTGCATATTTCACAATAGGGTTCACATTCCTGTGAGAATCTCACGCCACCACTGATCTGACAGGAGGTGGAGCTCAGGCAGTCATGCTCGCCCGCCCACCACTCACCTCCTGCTGTGCAGCCTGGTTCCTTATAGGCCATGGACAAGTACTAGTCTGCAGCCGCGGGGTTCGGGACCCCTGCTTTAGAGCATCAGAGTTGTCTACAGAGAAAATTATTTACATTTCACTTCTATCACTCAGAATAAAAATTATTCTAACAGCTACCTAGTTACAAAGATGAATCACACTTCGTGTGCTTGCTCTGTGTCCGTGTGGAATGGTCCTCTTGGCTTCTGAATTTGTTAAACACACACTCATTTACAACTATATAGAAAAGAATAGATTTGATGCTGTTGCTTGGAATCTTCAGCCCTAACAAATCTTGCATGTGTCTCCTTCCTTCCTCTGTGTTACTTTACACAAACAGCATTCTTGCTTTTCAAAAATCTTCAACTTGATCTTATAAAATCTAGAAGGACCACCAACAAAGGACCTGGTAATCTTTGCTAATTAACTGCCAAACCTAAAACGTTAGTATTTAACATCTTTCTACTTCCCATCTTACTAACATGCCTATCTGGAGACCAAAAATGCAACTACCTCATGTATAACCACTTTGGAAGAAGCCCAGGCAGACCTGTGTAAAACTCCTCCAAGGTGTTCGAATCATGAAGAAGTCTGCTTTTATAAACAGAAGGAAGAGGGCAATTCTGTTAGCTTTATGACAGGAATCTTAGAAACCCTTAGCCCTGCACACTTCAGTCCCCACTCAAAATCCCCTCTAATGCTTTATTTGCACAAGGAAGACATTGTGGAGTCAAGGATGGATGAAACTGAGACTCTGGGGAGAGGAAAGAAATGGGTCTGAGGACAGCAGGATTAAAGACAAAGGAGGGTTTCTGTTTGAGAAGGTCTGTTGGCTCAAGAAAAAGGTAAGAAAACTTGTCTTAGCTTCACAGCAAATTAAAAAGGAAAAAATAGGGAGACAAAATTCCTGGGGTTCTTGTGACTAATAAAGTAAAAGTGAAGAGACAGGAGAAGGTAAGTCTAAGAGACAGATCAGAAATGTAATTCAAGAGGCTTTGTGAATAACGAGATTAAATCACAGGTTGACATTCATTGACGAAATGACAATAAAAGGCTGAAACAGGAATACAATTATGTTTCACAGTTCACTCTGCTGAGATGCAGGAAGAGGCAGGCACCCCAATGGCATCACTGGTTATTTGGTGTAGCTAAACTCATAACATTATGTTAATTCAAGTCATAGACTCAAACAAGATGAAAACTTTTCTTCAGAAAATATAATGTCAAAATTAAAGTATCAGAACTTGTGTGTTTATAACCTAGGATCAAAAGAGTTGTGTATTGTTAAAAAGCAAAATTTCAAGTAAGAATTTAAAAAGTTTCTATTCTACAATTTTTGCAATCTGCTTTTCCCTTTATCTTATGTGATAAAGCTCCAAACTGAAAAAGATTGGACACACTGTGATTTCACCCAAATGAAATGTATCAACTGTCTTCTGAAGCTTGCTATCTTCTGCGTGACTGAACACCCTGGGAGCACATCTGTACTCTTCTTCTTCCCACCTAGAATATCCTCATCATCCTAGATGTGGGTCTAAACTTATATATAGTTAGTCACGCACTAAAATCCTGATACCTACAATAAAAAATGAAGACTGAAATATTTTCCTGCTATCAATAAATGTTTTTCCTCAGACAAACCAATAAGCAGTACCTCAACAGTGCCTCCTTATGTGTTAAGACATACACATACGAGCACTTGCGTTTTCTAGGAATTTTACATAAATGAAGGCTTCAAAAGTTGGGTGTGTAGCCTTTTGGTCTCACAGCTATTTATTCCAGTGCTATGACTTGCAATATTTTCAGCAAACCAACTAAAACTGTGATAGGAATTCATGCAATTAAGATTAAATTTTGGCTTGTCTTCAAACACTCCATTTCCATAAATATTTTATGCAGGTTTTCGAGTCTTTTATTTTTGTTTAAAAAAATGCAATGCATTAACCTCATTATTAGCAGTGTACTATCTCAAATTTAAAAGAATGAGTATTGCTCACAACTTGGGGGAGGCTGGGTACAGTATTTTATTATTCAAAATATAGCCATCTTATCTGATATATTCTGGGACTGTCAATGATACCTTGGAACTGAAATAACATGACTATAAACCACTTTTACAGAACAAAGTAAATGGGGGTGGGAAAATCATTAAAAAATAGTTTCTCCTCAAAGCATGTTTTGGGTTATATAAGAAAGTTACTTATTTTTCTTAAAGATTTTGCTTTTCAAAGATTGGCCCCCTTTTATTTCAGTAGAAAGGAAAAAAATACTCTTCAAACTTTTATTTAAAAAAGGATTGATCTCCGAATATGAAGACAAAACAGAATATTCCAGAGACAGGACACTACTTTTCAGTGGTATGTTTAATGTTACTTTGCCAAAGAACTCTACGCAATTGACAAGCACTAGAATTACTGCTTACTAGTGGTGGCTCTGTAGAAACTTTCTAGTTAATTTAATGTGTTTCTTCCATTGATTTCCACCATGTTAATAAATTTTCTCTAAAATATTTTTAAAAGACAATGTAGAACCAAAAACCACACCTGATATAATGGTTGAAGAACTAAACTGGCCTGTGACCTGAGTCGGGCTGGTGGTGTATTATGTAAATGATCTGCTCATAAGCTTATCTCAACAAATGCAGGATAACCGCACTATCCTGCCACTGACCACCTTGATACATTCCATTTATATTACATTTTCTTGAGGATTAATAAAGAACTTTGTAGGTTTAGGACCAGCTGCTTCTGTTTAAGCCCAACTGTTTCAGAGCTGCAACTACATAGCAAGAGTGTGATGTCATCTGAAGGCTGGACATAATACATTCGTGCTGGTCCTCAAAGTATATGCATGCCTCCCCTTCTGTGAATAATCCCCATGGTAGACTACAGTTTAGAGATGTGCTCAAAGCCATTATGAAGTTAAGATAAAGAAACCCACACCACCATACCATTTTCCCACATCAACAATTACATCTGTCCCATTTCCTCCTGATATTTTCATGACTCTTAAAGAATTCAAGGACACACTAAATACTCATGTAAGGAATGATAACATTACTGGTTATACCTACGGAGATGCAGGCTGTCTCGATGTCCTGGACCTATGGTTCTTTCCATCCGTAAATTTCTGTTTCTATATTGGATAAATATGTGTGTATGAAGATAATATATTGATTTAATCAAAAAGCCACATGGCAAAGCAGAAATATAAATATATAAATATATATATAACAGAAGCTGCGGCTTCTAAGTGAAGGTTCACAGGGAAGCAGGGAACCGTGTACATAGTTAACTTATTCACACCCAGATGCATGAAAACACACACACATACATATACACAGAGCACAGAGAAAAATGGCGTGCATTACGGGTAAGATGGCACATGATTCTGCATGCTTAATCATCACAAGCACCAACTGCAACAATCCTTCATGAGCATGGCAGCCTAGCTATCACGTGATCACTGTGGACAATCTTTACAGTGCATCAAAAACATCTAAGTTGGATTTCTTTTAGTGTGAAGTCCAACATGACTGAAAACTGGCACCCTCCACCCCCAGCAGGAGCAGCCAATGGAGATTTACTGACCTGTCTCTGCTTCGGCGAGAGGGGAATGCAGCATTGCAACCAGCCACTGTGCAGACGTGCATCTCTTTCAAGTGAACATTCCTGTAGTGAAGTTTCACACTGTAGGAGCTTTTGAAACTCTTCTTGCACACATAACATATTTTGGGGTCTGGGCTAGAACACAGGTCACCTTCTGGGGAGAACTTTTGAGGGCTGCCATAATTCAGAGACGATGTAAAGCTCTCATGCAAGGCGGCCATGCTGGCACCCCCACCGTTGTACAGTCCATACTGGCTCATGTAAAACATGTCGTAAGTGGGGTCTGTAAATTCTTCCTTCACCTTGATGACGTCCTGGTGAGAGGGCTCACTGTGGTTCTCATCAGGCCTCTCACTATTCATCAGGACTTTTTCACTCACTTCGCTGTGAATGTGCTCATCCCCTTCCATGGATTCCTCGCCCAGTTTGGGCTCTGAAGACTCAGACTCGTTCTCATAGTCCCGCTCAGGCTCTTGGTCTTCAGAAGTCATGCTGTCGGCCCTCCTTATTTCAGTCCTTGAAATGCACCGGGTCCTGTTATGCTTAGAAAAGTCCTTCACAGACATGCCTGGGCTCATCTCCTCTTGGGAGTGACAATGATTGTCATGGCTCATGTCATTAACCACAGCTCCACCATCATTGGGGTCATCATCTTCATCATCAAACTCATCGGCGGTATCAATAATTTCCTTCTCAATCTTCACAGGCATGCTTGACTTCCTGGGCTTTTTCTTGGGTGCCAGGTCAGCACTGGGCTCATGGGTGGCCATCATCACTGCTGGCACTACTGGCTCAGAGGGTGGCGGGGGGTGCTGCTCTATGGTACCACTGGTTGGAATGATGGGACTGGTTGGGAGGGAGGTTGGAGGACTCACCATTTCCCCTGGAGTGAGTAAACTTCTATAAAATGGAGGAACTGGTTGTACAGTCTTTAGTCCAGAAAACACCAGCTGGCTAGGGAGAGGATTTTGCAAGACAGGGTCTAGAGGGGGAGTGGTAAAACCCATTGGGGGCCGACCAGGGCTTGTGAGTGCCAGATTTGATTTTGTACTTGCTATGACAGGGGTGGCAGCTCCTGAGGTGGCCCGAATTAAATCTTTATCTCGGTTATTCCTTAGCATAGGCATGTGAAGGCGAGGATTGGGGTTTGCACTGTGGCGATTGCGACTTCGGAGGGAGCTAAAGACCATGTTGCAACCTTCAATGGTGCATCGATGTTTGATCTTCAGGTGAACAGCATTGTAATGAATTTTGAGAGTACCTTTGTCATAGAATGTCTTCCCACATGCATTACAGAACACTCTTCCCTTCCTAGAGGCTGACCCCATCCTTCTCATCCGATGAATCCGGAATGAGCTTTTTGGGTGTTCAGTTTTAGTTAAATCACTGACTGGGGCAGAATTCTGAATGGGAGAGACACAGGCTGGCTCGGTTTTGGGCTCCACATTAGTAATGCTGGTCAGGGCATTTCTATTGGGTGTTTGATCATTCTTATAAGGTGTGGGAGAAACTTCGGATTCACTGCTCTCATTATATTCATTCTGAGTTGAAAGGCTGGGTTCCCGCAGCCTCAACCCTGGTTGCTCTAACAGTAGCCCATTTGGAGGCAACCCTAGCAGTGGCGCTGAGACAGGGTTTATGTACTGGAATGGAAGCAGAAATGCAAGGCTGTTTGGGATGTTTTCGAAGTGATGAATGCTGGAAGGATTGCTGTTCTCTAAGTGAGCAAGGAGGCTGGGACTCCTGGTGCGATTATTGCTCTCAATGAAAGTCCTTATATCTGAGTCTGTCTTTGAAGATGGTACAGCCACGGCCTGTCCTTCTTTCTCCTGAATTGCCATCAGCTCCACAATGGATTTGGTTTCTCCAAACCGCAGAAACTGCTGAAGGGTGATGATTTCCTCTTCTCGAGACATGATGGCCCAGCGGTCCAGCACCTTGCCAGCAGCATCCTAGAGGCCACATCAAAGAAACAACAAAGACAAACACAAAAACTTATTGATTGTGCATAATTATTCAATGCAACTGAAGGTGCTCTGTGTGCTCATAAAACACCGAGAGCAAGAGCAGAAAACAACATGCAAGCACTGTTAATAAAAGTCAACCCACAAAGCAAACTTTTCTGCCATGCAAATGTAGTAATTAGAGTCACAGTTAGAGAAACAGATTGAGTTTAATAATGTCAAAGCAAACAAAATGTAGACCACTGGGGCTCTGTGATCTAAAATGCCTTCAGTACTGCTTTTTTAACAACAATGATCTATATACTATGCAACTATTTAGCATATATTAGTATAAGATGTGAACTCCTGCTGTGAAATCCAATATAAATGAAAAAAATGGTACCTTAGTCCTTATTAAACTGTGATACTATAGGAAGGAATTAAGTACATTTTGTGAAATTTACTTCTTCAACATAAGCAGACATGACACTGGATTCAATGATGAAAATTCCTTTAAGTAGGAGTTATGTGAATTTCTGAATCAAAAAGATGAATAAAGTAGCATTACCCCTCATATCTTGTTACTAAACTGTATCTTTTTTTTTTGAATGGCTATATTTTAGTATCATTTAATAGCAGGCAATTTCATAAGGAAGAGTAAGAAAAACATCACTCATAAAAGGTAATTGTACTTTTCCTGAAAATTGGTTGTAATTCTATGATTCAAAGTTTGAGTTAGACTTAATGTATTTGACTTTTTATGATCTTGTTATAAATGACAGTCATAGATATCTAAAAAGTAAACATGTGATGGATTTAGACAGAATAAATGTGTAAAAAGTTGTCTCTCAGCATCCTCCTCTGATAGCAAAGGGAGTCCACAGAGAATACACATCAGTAATCACCAGACTATGTGTTGTTAAATATACATTAAAAAGCATTTCACACTTTCATTTTTGCTAGTAACTATGAGATTTGCCTGGAGGTAGGACTTTAAAATCCTGCAATGTAATGTCAGGCAATCCATTTCAGCATGGATTGAGAGAAATCTATTCAAACACTTAAATAATGACTCCATCACTTTCTAGGGCACCATTTCTTCCCATTGGGACGGCACACTTTGCATCCCTCTGTGAATGACACTTGCCCCAACCCTGATCATGAATTTAAGAAAGCACAGTATCTTCTTAAAAACAAAATGACAAGATACTTATTAATTACAAATGGAAAATCATAACATTATCATGGAAAAACCTAACAGACCCTATCTTAAAAGGGTGATCGAATTTACCACCATGAATGGAAATCACGCCATCATATACCGCTCGTTAGGACACACTAAGAAGGGCACAACATCACTTTTGTGGCATTCTTCTAATGATATGGTTTGGCTGTGTCCCCACCCAAATCTCATCTTGAATTGTAGCTCCCATAATCCCCAAATGTCGTGGGAGGGAGCCGATGGAAGTTAGCTGAATCATGGGGGTAAGTCTTTCCCGTGCTGTTCTTATGACAGTGAATAAGTCTCATGAGATCTGATGGTTTTATAAAGGTTTTATAAAGTTCCCTGCACATACTCTTGCCTGCTGCCATGTAAGATGTGACTTTGCTCCTCCTTTGCCTTCCACCATGACTGTGGGGCCTACCTAGCCATGTGGAACCGTGAGTCCATTAAAACTCTTCCTTTAATGGACAAACACACTGTAAAAACTTCAAAACCTCAAGCCAATCATCAGAAATCATCAGGCAAACCAAAATTGAGGGACATTCTACAAAACAGTAGATAGCACTCTTCAAAGTGTAAAGCTCAGGAAAGATTTATTAAAAATAAAGAATGGTTCCAGATTAGAGGGGACTAATCAAATAAAGTTGTGTGATCCCAGACCAGAAAAAAGACATTAGTGGGAAAATTAGCAACAATTGAATAAAGTCTCTAGATTAGTTAGTAGTATTATACCCATCTGAATTTTCCAGTTTCAGTCACTGTGCTTTGATTATGTAGAATGTTACACTAGAGGAAGCAAGATTAGAGGCATAAGGGATCTGTACTGCTTTTGCAAGGGAAAAGTCTCTCCTCAACCTGTGGACATAAAATTCTCTCTGAAACACTGCCCTATGGTCTGAATCATCACAGCTAGTTCGATTAAGTGGGTATTTGTCATTTACTTGAATTACTTTTTTAAAAAAGCCCTGATAGTTATGTGCCCCGCTTTGTAAGGCTCACTCCTAGCATCCTACCATTTTACATAAAGAATATGTGTAAGTACGTGCATGTGGGTGTCCATTCCTAAGAAAACTGTCAAACACATAAGGGTGCAGGTATATGGCAACCCCAGATGATCCTGAAGTCCTGCCATCAGCATTTTCAAAACCTCACTCATAGCAGTTGGTATCGTTCACATCCTACTTTTGGAACAGGGGTAACATGGAAGAATGTTGGTGCTATAGGTAAATAGAGAAATAATTTGTGATTTTTAAATAGATTATCTCATTTGACCCCTATCATAACTTCCAGAACTCAGAGAACAGATGAGAAATCAGGAGAGAAGAAAGCTAAGATAGGTTGTTAAGGTTGCGAAGATACTAATTTGAGGCCCAGGAGTTGAACACAAAAATTCTGACTCTAAGTTCAGAGTGTGTCAACAGTACTCAGTGGCTGTCATTCCATGATGCCATTTCTCAGGTAAGCCCATTGAGTTTGTGGTAGTAAAGAGCAGGACCTCTGAGGAAGTCTTTCTCTAGAATGTTATAATGTCCTCTTCTGTACCATCTTTCTTGTACCATCAAATCTACTCTCTTGACTGTCCTTTTACAGAGCCTTTCACTACAGATTAATTTCTCTGGCCGAGCTCCAATCTGAGCAACGTACAGTCATATCTTCCCCAGGTTCTTCCAAGGTAGCCTGTACCTAAATCTACATGTCAATGAAGTACTTACACAACTGACAGCCTCTGGTATTAAAATGCACCTCAGAAACCATAGCAACTGATCAATCCCACCCGAGGCATCTCATTTCCATCACCCTTCTGTCTTCTTTCTCCCAACAGTACAGAGCAGTCCCATATGGTTTCTCCTGGCCCGCCACAATGCTCGCTACTATTTCTAAAACTACTGCCTTTCAGACTGTCTTCTAGCGCTCAGTTGTTGTCTCTGCTAAAATGGAGTCTGTTACATTAAACCACTTGCTTCCAGTGAAAGAGATCCAGGTAAGTATGATTTAGAACTCTGATAGTTCCTGAATCATAAAAGAGAAGTTTCATTTACAGTGGTAATAGAAGCAGCAATTTATACTCACACAGATAAACAACAAAGCGTATTTGCAAACAAACATACTTAGGAACGGGACATACAGCTCAATAACACCAAACTAGATTCCCCTTGATAGTGCCATAGGTGTCCTTTCCAAAGAAGTCATCATTGGCTGGGTGTTGTGGCTCATGCCTGTAATCCTGACATTGAGGAAGGCCAATGTGGGAAGATGGCTTAAGCCCTAGGCAACATGGCAAGACCCTGGCTCTACGAAAATTAAAAAACTAGCCAAGTGTGCTGGTCCGTGCCTATAGTCCTAGCTAGTTGGGAGTTTGAGGTGGAAGGATTCCTTGAACCCAGGAGGTTGAAGCTGCAGTGAACCATGATAGTGCCATTGCACTCCAGCCTGAGCAGCAGAGCAAGAGTCTGTCTCAAAAAATAAAAAGTCATTATCAATTTGATCAAGAGTATCTAATTCATCACATTTATAAATGGAGAGACTGCAACAAGAAACAAATTGATCTTATACAACCTAACAAGTGTGCAAGCTGGATGCTAAGAATGGCTACCAGTTTTACTGTATCTTTAACCTGGTTGAAGGGAGTTAGAAAGCATCAAATGGAAAACAGAAATGCCAAGGTTTTTTCTGAAGATCTTTGTGATAGAAATAAGTATGTTTTGGTACTGTGATTCTGAAACACTAGTTTAAGACTCTTCTGTGAAGGTAACGACCTCTATGCATGGTCTATACTGCTATTCAAAAATGGACCAGTGTCAGTTGGATGGCTTTTTTCTTTTTTTAACTCATCTGCAACAAAAGTAACCATTTGGAAAATTTAGGACAACTGGATACTGCTACAACAACTAAAGTCATGACACATTTTTTCAGTCAATTTATGTTTATTGTATTTAACTTAAGTATGGGAAAAACTAGTCCTCCTCGCAAACAGTGTAAATGGTCAAACTTTACAAAAGTAAATTAGAGTTATAAAAAGAATTAGGTATTATTGTGGAGTAAACACTAATAAAACAAAAATTCAGTCTGTTAGGCCAGGATGAAGATCCCAACTACCAACCAACTCATGCTGGGCCACTGGTCTTCTGCATGAATAATATGTTAACATCAGAGTATATAACTGAGCTCTTGGCCCTCCATGCAGTTTTGTAGTTACTGAGTCAATTCTTTTAGGTTTTCCCATTTGTAGCCAAAGTACAGTGACTTTTAACCCTTCAGGTTGAAAAATGTTATTGACAAAATGAGGATAAGATTTACCATGTTAAGTTAAATGCAAGGTATTATTATAAGTGTTGATTTCCTGTGAAAATAACTGGCTATACTGTTAATTAAAAGTTGAGTAACACCAAATAATATAGACTTATAAACCAGTTTTACAGGGTTGAGAAAAAGTATAAAAGACTTAAAATATTTACATCTACACATTTGAAATAAAAAGACTTCCTTTTGTTGCTTCATTGGAACTGGTGATTATCACTCGTAGAAATCTGGCACCCTGTTCCTGTATGGCTCTGCCAAGTGACTTTTTAAAATGTTTTGTTGTAGGATCAAATGCATGGTTTAAATGGTTTCATTTGAGTCCTTTTCCACATCAAAGCAGTTTAATGATTTGTAGTTTTAAAATCAAAGTAAAAAAAAAGGTTGATTGGTTTCTCTTATTGGGAAAGAGGGAAAGTAGGGAAGGAACGGATGTGAAGAGATGGAAGAGAAACCAAATAAGGGGCTTTGGGATAATCAGACTGTC